AGAGAGAGAGAGAGAAAATGAGAGAGTTTGTTCAACAAGAAAAACGTACGTATAATTTTATGATGGAAGCCATTTTCATCGGCTTTGTTATGCGTTTAATAAATTTCAATTTGTCCACATTCTCTTCTCAATTTCATAAAACTTTCAAAAACCTACGCTTTTAATTCGTTTCATATAAAACAGTGGATGGTGGTAATTGCGTTACAAAAGTCACGTGATATCCTTTCGACAGCTAGAATCGTTCCCTCTGTTAATTCAATAGGAAAAAGTATATACTATATGTATATATGAAAACTAATATTAGAAAATTAGCTTTTAACATTGTTCGAAACATTCACGAGATATTCTTTTTTATTTTTTTAAATAATCCGAATTGTTTTATACGATAAAAGGAAATGGAAAGAATGTACAAATGAATGCAAGTTTTATACGCTCTCTGTTGAAGGGAAAATGCGCGAGACTCACGGAAACGTCTGGCTTAAGCCGGTATTTACTACTTAACATCATAGTTCCTCTTCCAACATCGATAAAACGCGGAGAACGCATCGTGCGTTTTTACGATTGCCTATTACTTTTTACTACTTGTGATAATAAAAAGAATGATGAAATAATGAAACGCGCATATACACGAAACGACTCGGTTCTGTATTATTTCCTGAAAGAAATTAATTGAATTTATCAGATAGTTGATTTATGCAAGAAAAATAAATGCGAAATTATAATAATGTATTAGAAAAAAAAATTTCCAATTCATTTTCTCGCCAATTTAAATATTATTTCCTTCATGTTTGTTTTAATCAGTTTTTAATGAAAATTCATTGGCGAATATATTTTTAATAATTTATCGTTTTTCCACGATTTTCCTTCTTTAATTCCTTTTATTTTTTTCTTCGACTTATTAATATTAAAGATTCGTGTAAAACAATGACATTTTTTGCATTCTAAACGCTTTGGAAATAAAACAAATGATCGAATAATTGCGAGGAGGAAAAGTGTGCAAAAGCTTGGGAATTAGCATGCACACGAAGTTTTAGAAAGACTTATGTAAATCTTGACAAGCGCTTGATGAGAAATCGCTCTCTACTCTTATGACTGATCGATCGAGATATTCTAAAAGGAATGAATGTCAGTTCTTAATTGAGTTTGTATCTGAAATATCGTCGCACGCAGTTCAATTGGCTGTTCAATTGTACGCTTCGAAGAGGATGACTGGATGACTCTGATGAGCTGAAACTGAAAAGGATTGAATTTTATAAACAAAAAAAAAAAAATTGCAGAGATGAGGATTAAAAATAAGAATTAAATGATTAACGAGCAAAATATTAAATATACTTTTTATACACGGGTATAGAAATAATAAGATAACTTACTTATAAATAATGTATAACTTACTTATAAATAGGAAATTCTTGGCAATAAAACAAGTGTAAAAGAATTTATATAGAAAGAATGGTTGGAATGTAATAAGAAAAAGAATTCTGAGAGTGTTTTCGTTCGAAGAAATCGAAAGGGGCGAGAAATACTTGATCGCACCATCTTCTTATTCACGTTACACTAAACAGCTGTCCGGAATGTCAGCGATGCACGAGAACGCTTACAACCCCTACAATCCAATAGTTTGGACGAAAATTCTATTCGAATCGCATTTTTCTTTCTTTACCCTTCTCTTTTTAAATGCGACCTCTTATAAAAATAAATTTCTATAAAATTATAAAACAATTTTCCTCCTTTCTTAATTTCAATTCAGGATCAAATATTCGTAAATTTTCATTACATATATTTACATACATGCATACATTTTTTTTTCTTTTTTAACATACTAACTTCGCACTAACCCCATAGCTGATAGTTTCACCTGTGTTAAATTCAAATTAAATTTTAATACACTTTGAGTCAAGTCTTTAAGAATGAATTGAACATCGGTGGTATGTATATTACGAAGAATTTAAATGAAAGATTATAATGTAATATAATGTAATTTAATAAGGAATTAAATTTAAACCGTATGAATTAGAAGTTTTAATCTATTGTCTGAAAGTTCAATAGATGGATACGGTATGTGATGAAATTGAATTTTCGACCGTAAATTCTATGTGAAACTATGATGATTTATAAGGGAGGAAATTATAATTCGTATGCGATGAAAAACGATGCAATGTGAACAAGGATAATCTCGACAATCGTAAAATAATTTGATTGCGTGTAAAGGGAGAAACACGCGATAATTAAATCGCATCTCTCGTGGAATACATTCTCAGAAATTGACGCGAAAAATTTTCGTTTTTTCGAATAAGAATAAATTGTAAAATAAAAAATTCATTTCATATTCGTGATCTAAACGCATTTCAGTTTGAAGGATGTAGAGAGGTCATCTCGCGAATACGTAAGTACTTTCTCTACTTCTTTTGCAAGGACAGAAGATTATTTTATGAACGCATACAAAATGCGTGCTTCAAGCGCGCTTCAAGTGTGAACAATTTACAATTTGTTCGACTGTTAGAAACAGAAATTAAAAGGAAGTTAAAATATTCGCCGAACGATACGACAGATTTATGTGCATAAAGTATGAGTATATGTAAAATAATTTAATAAAAGTTGCCTCCAATTAAAAACTGGATCAAAGTCTTAAAAAGAAGATTAATAGAAAGCCGGCTTGCAACTTGATTACACAGATTAAGGGAAAACCGATTTGTAACTCAATTTAAAAAAAAAAATTGATTAAAAAGTTGGACAGAGTGACGTGACAAGTTTTCCCATGCAACAAATGACGAGCCTTGATGAGATTCTTCGCTCCATACGTTTCCGTTACGTTTGTTTTAATAATAAAAGGTATTGTCTATTCGAAATCCTCCCCTTCTAAATTTTCCTGGACAATTTTCGCCATTTTGCGTTAACATTGGAGGCGAGTTAAACGGAAAATACAACAATAGAGCAGGAGTAAATACGAGCTAACCTGTTGCCTGTTTCACAAAACGTACAGGGAGATATTGCACCAGCGTTATGGAAACTGTGACGTTTGGCGATCCTTCCAGATATTGGATCACTCACTGGATCACTTTGTGGTGGATAAGTGGTTGATATACCGGTGTTAAGATCCAAGGATACGATGATAGTGACGAGATTCTCGAAGGATCAGCCCTTAAATACGCGCCGTTACCACGGCCATGCGCAATTCAACATCACACCCTCTTGTCTCTGTTTGTTGACGTACATTTTCAATTTTCCCATAGACACGTTGAATAAAAATTTTATGAAAATGGTCGGTGGTTGCGCAACGAAAGAGAGGGTTCTTCTTAACCAACTCCACTCTCTCCCCCTTCCCCTCTCCTCCTGTTTGTTTTCACTTGTTTCTTGCTTCAACGCACAAACCTGCAAACGAGATTTTTAACGGTCAGATAGTTGCTCGAAACAGCAACAACTTTGGAGAAATTAACTCTTGATTAATTTCACATAGTACTTTTGTACTAGCACATTCTTCTCTTCCTCGATAATACTTTTTTTTAATCGCTTGTTCATTTGATTAATTGTTTTTTTTTCTTTTTTTTATTCATTTCCTCTCAATTTGTAAATTGTTCTTCAAATTCAAAGTTATTTGTTTTTATTTTAATTTTCTTTTTCTTCTTTAATTTCACTTCTTCAGCACTTCTTCAGTTCTTTTTTCTGTTCCTTTTGTCTGATGACTCGTGGATGTTATATTACATTATTGATCAAGATGATCAAGTTTATTTATTGATCAAGTAATAAATTTAATAACGAGATGTCATAATTAATTGTAGGACAATGAGAGAATAGAATGAATTGATGGAACTTTGTGTCGTTATATCGTAGAATTTTAATATCCTCTTCCCTCAATTATATTCTTTTTTTAACCTTTTTTTAGATACTTCTTTCAACGATACTATTTCGTTGAATATGTAAGCAATGCATAAGAATGCATCCTAGCACATCCTTTATATTTTATATCAATTGTTGGGGATACATGTATGCTTTTCATGAAACTCATTCCACAAATATAATAATGTAGCATAATAATTTGTACACATTTTTTTTCTTCGTGTCCTGTAAAGAGATATTTGATTTATAAAAAAGTAAGAAGTAAATTAAAAAATTAAAAACATTTATATATATATTTTTATGCAATGCTAAATAAAAAATGACTGTTTAATAAAATAAAACAGCAATAAATAAAGGTATTATTAGCCGTTGCTACATAAGCTTAATAAATTTATAATAAAGTATGATTGTTTCATTAATAACTTGAATTATTGCTGATAAAATATACACATGAGGAAATATGAAATGTTTGCCACAAATATGATTTTCATTCTTTTCTCTTTACTTTTCTTTTTTCGAAGAAAAAAACTGAAACAAACGAAATGTCAATTTTCCCAGCAATCAGATTGTTTTCACAATTCTTTATATGCCAGAATGGATATTCCTTCACAATTCCTTCCGATGTGTTACGACGGTCAAGGTTGAGCTCGAATCAAAGAACGAGGACCACTGAAGCAAAAAATACGAGATGAAGTCTGTCCGAATTCGCTTCTCCGGATCAAAGTTCATAGAGGAATCCGATTTTTCGAGAGAATAATTTCGTGATTAAACGTATAACGTTTTCCAATAAAAAGGAATATGCATGAGATATGATGAGAAGAAAAGAAGTATGTTGCAAAAATTAATTCAAATAAGAGAAAAAATAGTAGTAAAAAGTAAAATCGCAATTTTATTTCATTATTAGATGATCTTTATCATTTAATAATTCAGTGTGTTTTTCTTAAATTTGAAATTTTAATTTTTTCTTAAATTAAATGCAATGACCCTTGGATCAAATTCATTCAAATAAACATACCGTGTAACAATGTCACTTTACATTATTCGATAGTAGTTTGTAATGTGTTTTACAGAATATTTTCAACAATCGTGATAATTTCAGGTAGGAAAATCTAAGCGGATTTTTCATTTTCAAAGTGGATTTGAAAGTGTTATTATATTCCGTCACTGTTCTGTGTCTCAAGCAAAATGAGTTTTTCACCGTTAATCACCGTTAATTCGAAGGATCTGCAAAACAACGATGGATCAGGTAAATATTTTTAATATTTTAACATTATTTTTAATTTTTAAATAAAATTGAAATTATTTTAAAAAAGGAGAGATATCTTTAAATTGGGACTATATATCTCAAATACATCTGTTTCTCGTTTAAAGAAAAACGTTTTATGTGCAACGTTAATCTTTCGATGAAAAAAGAAACGAGGAATGAAAGCAAAGAAAACTAAAACGTTTTTTATTATTATAAAATTGCTAACGCGCCAAAACTCAATTTTCTCCACTGAACTCGGGTGTTTTTTCTAATAACCAACGCGTATATTTGCGACACGTTTTATAAGTAATTAAATTTCTGGATGTTGGAACGTTTTCACTTTCCCCTAGCACGATTAATGTCGACGCAATAAGTGTAAGAATTTCCGTTTCGCGAATATCGAAATTTCATTGTTAAATCCACGGATAATCCACTCGTTGTTTTAATGATATTATCTGACGCAGCTGTTATTTTCTACATGCATTCGCAACTGCTAAATGTTGATGTATAATCAAATGGCAGAACGAGATAGATAAATAGATAATTAGATAGATAGAGATAGAGAGAGAAAGGAAGGATTGTAAGTAAAATTAGATGAAGAATACTTTATCAATTTCGATCAACTTGAAATATTGTTATTATCAATTTTTACATATAATCGACAATCGCGAATATTTTATAATTGATAACAATGTATTCAAATGATTTTCACACGATATTTGTAATCCATGATGTATAGAGAAACATAAACGTGAAAAGCATAAAAAATTGCTACGAACCTAAAACGATATCACAATAAATTATTCATTAATAAAAAAATATCAGTAAAAAAGAGTGATCCCATCATTTAAATATTCATGATACACGACTATATAACACAGATTACCAATATGATTAAGTTTGAGAAAGATGACGGTTGCATACCAATAGTTACAAACCAAGATTTAAAGTTTCTAAAATTGTAGAATTTCTAATTTTTCTGTGAGTAATATTTACCATAAGAACATTTTCTAATAAATTTTAAATTTAATTTTAACGAGAAATTGAATTTTCTGTAACTCGATAATCAGTTAATTCGAACAAGTTTAAACGATCTTCTCTCCCTCTATGATATTTACTAGTTACTTCGTTAAATACATTATTAAATTTGACAGGAAGCGACATCTTTATTTCTAAATTACTTGCAAGTAACTTTTTTATTAAGAGAAATATTTATTTATTAATCTTTTTATATTATTTGAAAATAACTTTTTTTAATTATTTTTGTATTATATCTATTTACAAACAATATATAAAAATAAAAGTATATACGGTAAGATTATATATAGGATATTAACAATTTTTTTGAAATGACGATAGATGGCTCGCTTTTTCTATTCTAATTATCATATATATATATATATATATATATATAGACGAGTATACATATTATTCATTAATATTTTTTCAAGTATAATGAAAATTCTTTTTATAGATTATATAATGAATCGCCATCATATTTCTTGTCCGAAATATGATGAAAGTTATAAAGAATCTTTGGAGAATCCAGAAAAATTTTGGGGAAATATTGCACAATGCATAGATTGGAGTAAACCATGGAAAAAAGTATTGGATAATACTAAACAACCATTTACAAAATGGTAGTGATTTGTTTGTTATTAAAACGTTCTAATATATCGATCCTTGATTTATATTTTTTAAAATTTTTAAAAATTTTTTCTTCTGTATAGGTTTATCGGTGGAGAATTGAATGCCTGCTACAATGCAGTAGATCGACACATTTTAGCCGGAAACGGAAATAAAGTAGCATTAATTCATGACAGTCCTCAAACATCAACAGTTCAAAAAATAACTTATAATGAACTTTTAAAAAAGATATCTTTATTAGCTGGAGTGCTAGCTAATATGGGCGTGGGCAAAGGCGACGTGGTGATTATTTATATGCCACTAATTCCTGAAACCATAATAGCAATTTTAGCTACTACGCGACTTGGCGCGGTTCACTCTGTTGTATTTGGCGGTAAAAATCTAAATTTTAGATTTCTCAAATTATATATTACTTTATTTTTGGGAGAAGAATATATTAATTTTTTCGTTACTATTTTCGTTTTTAGAAATTGTTACTAAAAATACTAAAAATTAAAAATAATATTACTTAAGATTATATAGAATTGAAAAAAATTTTATATCATATTTATTTTAGGATTTGCCGCGAACGAATTGGCTATTAGAATAAATCATGCGAAACCAAAAGTGATAATTGCAGCTAGTTGTGGTGTGGAACCTTCCAAGATCGTTCGGTATAATTTTTTCTTTTTGGATTTGCCTATACTATATTTGCATATTATATAAGAAATCATAATTGACAATACATATTTTATTCTAAATACAGATATACGGATATGTTAAATGGCGCTATGAATCTCATATCTGTAAAAAAACCACAATGCATCATATTTCAGAGAAGAAATATCTGGGAGAGTCCCCTTTTGGAAGATCAATTCGATTGGGATGAAATGATAAAGAGATCAAAACCTCATCCATGTGAACCAGTTGAGGCAAACGCGCCTTTGTACATTATGTATACTTCAGGAACAACAGGTATTTCTATTATTTTATTATAAAATACAATGTATCGACTTTTTACTAAACTAATTGTTAATTATATCAACAATTTGTGATTATGAGAAGAGAAAATTTATCATTGTTATTATGATGAAAAGTTTGCCTTCCTTTATATTAGAATATGTGTTTCTGTTTCAAAGTTGCTGTTCCAAATTATTTTCAAGCCATTATTCTATCGAAACTCATTAACTTTGAATGATATAATGTAAATTTTACTCGCTGTGAAATTTTGTACTAAATACATAGAAAAATTTATATTATGCGCAGCAAAAGTCATTAACCGTTTAAATGAACCGGCGTCATGTATTTTTAATTATATTCATTGTTCAAAATGAAGAATATAAAAAATTTATCGGGAAAATGAAAGTGATAAAATTAAGTTTTATAAAATAAAACTTGATGTTTTATAAATATATTACGAGAAATGAATCGAATTTTTTTCTCTTTTTTTTCTTTTTTTTTTAACCAAAGGTCAACCGAAAGGAATTTTAAGAACAATCGGTGGACATCTGGTCGCTCTTTGTTGGACAATGAAAACAGTTTATGGTATGAACAAAGATTCCGTTTGGTGGGTGGCTTCAGATATGGGATGGGTTGTCGGACACTCTTATATTTGCTATGGACCTTTGCTTTATGGCATCACCAGCGTGATGTATGAAGGAAAACCTGATAGGACACCAGACGCAGCACAATACTTCAGGTGGGAAATTTAAATATGTAACAAAGATTTTATTCAACAAATTATAATACAAATGAAATATGCACGAAATGTTATTTTTAATACCTCGTGATTTAAATTTTATTAATGTTACTGAATAAGAATATTCAATCTAATTAATATTTTATTTTATTTGAATATGCCTAATTCTTTCTTAATTTTATCAATTATTTATTAATTTCTTTTTTTTTATTTTTAACAAAAATACATTTGAAAAATGCCTTGAAAAAATCCTTTCATTTTTTTCGTAGAGTAATTGATCAACACAATGTGAATGCATTGTTTTGTGTACCCACCGCACTTCGCATCATAAGACGTGCAGATCCTGATTTATCATTGAGTCGAAAGTACTCTGTGAAATCGTATGTATTTTTACACGCAAACGGTATTGATACAATTTCACACGATTTATATATTTTATATATATATAAAAAATTTTATCAAAATACACGCTAATAATTTGCTTTTTGTAGTTTGAAAACTATATTCGTTGCTGGAGAATTTTGTGACCACGAGACGAAAATCTGGGCGGAGAAAGCTTTCAAAGTACCAATTTTGAACAATTGGTGGCAAACGGAAACAGGTCATCCTATCACAGCGTTGTGTCTAGGATACGGGCATAATCCTAGTTTACCGAAATACAGTACCGGCCTCCCGATTCCTGGTTATCACAGTGAGTTTCACATTTCGTTCACACCGATGTTATTATATGTACACGCATGTTTTTGAAAATAATATAATTGTATTGTGGAAAAAAATTTATTACCGTTCAACTAGTTGACATATTACGGGAAAACAGCAACGAGGCAGAAGCTCACGAATTAGGCAGAATTGTTATAAAATTACCATTGCCACCCGGTTGCGTGTCAACTCTTTATCACGATGATAAGAATTCAAAGAAGTATACTTTTCCACGTATCCAGTGAGTTTTCTTTTTTTTTTAATTTTCCAACATCTCTCCGATGAAAACTTTTGATTTATTTTCTTGTTATTAAAAAAAATACATATGTATATTATGGTGAAAAATAAATTTAGGGTTACTACGATACTATGGATGTTGGCTATAAAGATGAATTTGGATACGTTTATGTGATGGCACGTGATGATGATGTTATCAATGTTGCTGGTCACAGATTATCCACGTCCGCTCTGGAAGATGTCATCTTGACTCATTCGGATGTGGTAGACGCTGCCGTAATCGGTGTTCCAGATCCGACTAAAGGAGAAATACCTTTATGTCTTTATATAATGAAACAAGGTGAATGATATTTAAAAATATTTTGCATTTGTTCGAGATAAGTATATAATAGGAATTTATATCTTTCTTTCCTTTTTTTTTTTTTTAGAAGCGACGAAAAATGAAAAACAGATTAACGACGAACTAATAGCACGAGTAAGAAGTTTAATCGGTCCCATAGCGTCTTTCAGAATAGCCGCCGCTGTGAGCGCATTGCCTCGAACACGTTCAGGGAAGATAATTCGTAAATCTATTGCTAATTTGGCTCGTTCCAGGCTATTTAAGGTAAATGAAAATTTTGTGGGAAACTAAAAATGATAAATCAGTTCGATTGTTTGTTGAAAAACGAAATTAAATCGGAAGAATGAAATTCTCATTTTCACACAACATAAGAGTACATTATTTATTCATTTACTATTCGCCAATGTAAAATATCCTTTCTTTTCTTTCCAGATTTCAAGTACAATAGAAGATGCATCAGTATATGTCGAAATCAAAGAAGTACTTCAGAAGCTCGGTTATGCTAAACTAGCACCGGATCCTCAATGATAAGTGTACTTAAACTTTTATCACTTTTATTATAAATGTTTTCGTAACCATATATAAAATGTAATAAACCTACGTATGGCATGATTGACACGTATAAAAGAGTGTTTTGAAAAAATTACGTGTCGAAAAATTTGATTTCACAATTGTTATTATCTATTGCATTAAGATTTTAGACTTAATCGTGGTAAATAGTAAATTAAGTCGAAATCTAAGCAACTTGTATAATTTGGCTCATCATTAGGCCTTTGTTATAATTTTAAACTTCAAATATAATTTATTTTAGATTTTAGACAAAAATCACACACAGGAACTGTTTTATAATGTTATAGCAAAAAAAAAAAAATAAATAAATAAATAAATAAATAAATAAAAATAAATAAATAAAAAATTGATTCTACAATAAAATATGCACCTTCGTTTGAATTATACATATAACATTTCATGCTAATATTTTTGTTCCGTATTACTACGAAATTTTGGTAAATAAGAAAAAGAAAAGAAAAAATATATCAGCAATTTTTTTAATGTTTCGACTGTAATATTATTAACAATTTAAAAAATATAACAACCATAAAACAAACGTTGCCAAACAATTTATAGCAATAAAATTATTATTTTTTTTTTTTTTTTTGAATTCTGTTTTGTTAGTAAACAGATTTGATGTAATACATGAAATAAAAGATAATAATAAACGTAAAATGTAAAAAGAATAGGACAAGAGATACAGATGTTTTAGTATCCATAGAAACTAGCAGCAAAGAAAAAAAGAAGCAGTATAATACATGTAAAGAAAGCACTCACAAAATGTCTGCTTTGAAAATTCTCTATATTAACTTCCTTTCAGTTAAATCTCGACATTAATTTTCTTTTATCGCATATAACGCTATAAATCATCGAAACTCTTTTCTGAAGAAGCACAGTGTAAGAATATTTGGTGTTATAGACACGTAGTACATCGATACAATACACGAACCTTGGCGCCGTCAAACACCAATCATATTAACAGAAACAGTACGTGCAAGAAAAAGCAAATCAACCATACACATGAAATCTCTTATCAAAATTAGTAGAGCACATTTTTGTTGCAAATTTGTTTTTAATGACAATGTAATAAGAAACAGTATAATAATATTAATAATAATATTAATTTTATAATTATAAATTGTTGTGTAACACTATCTGGCTGATTTAATAAATTTCTGTATTTTTTATTCCTTCTTACCACCAATTTAATAATAATTATTCAATAATTATTATAATAATATTAATAATATTTTCCTTAGTTTTTATCTCGTAATCATCTCCTTTTACGTTCATTAATGTCTCGCATCTCAGAAGAATAAAAATATCGTGTTTTACAATATTACGGAGACACTGTTCGTCATTTGATCATTAATACATTTGTAATGAACTCAACATGAGTGCTGTCGTTCGGCTTACCTAGTTAGAAGGAACACGCGCTCTTGAGTTTTTTTTTTTTTTTTTAGTTGGTTTTTGTCTCCTTATTTATATAATCAAATCTATTTGCTTCTTTTTATTTCAAGTTATAAATACCCTCCCCCCCCCCTCCCCTCCCCTCCCCCCGTAACCCCGTAACCCCGACCCGACTGTCTGTGCATACGATGTATGTGCTTTTCTTTGATGTAGAACTTTTTTGCTTCTTGTGTAAGATGAGTGTATGTTACATTAACAGTAGTTCGCGAATAGTCACGCTAGTTCCGTTTTCTTTTCTCGTGCGTACTGTATTCGGCTTGCGTCTCTTGTATATTCTTCGTTTATTAAAGTTGATTATTATCCCAACCTGTGGTCGAAGTTGAGCAACTTTACTCTACCACTTTCAGCACCTTGCCAATTGCAATAGTCTTATCTGAAAATTAACAAAGACGAGCTTATTAGAATTTAATCATTCGTGAAAAGATGAAAAATTATAACCAGCTTGAAGTTGAAACGTGTGAATTTTATTAAATATATAATATATAAAAAAATATTATATTTACTTTCATCCCTAAGGGTGAAACGTCCCATTTGTGGAAACAATTTAAATCTTTCAAGGCATATGACACCTGCGCACTCAATTCTCATTATTGCCACTTGATCTTGTTTGACGAACCTCGGCCTGGTTTTACTTTTATCCCCAGTTTTTTTATCGACCAAACAGATCAATGCTTTCACTCTAACTTCTTCTGCGGCACAGTGAATGTGCATCACAGCACTGTAGCCGGCGCAAATAATGCTCTTATGTTCCAAAATAACAACTTGAGCGTCAAACACTTTTCCTGTTTTTATCGGATTGTTACTGTCGCACAGAACGAATCCTGGGCTCACATCTTCTTCTTCAATGCCTTTTAATTTGATCTTTACATTTTCTCCAGGTCCAACTGATGTTACTTCCTCGTCATCTGACCATAACTGATCTACCGTTACTGCCGTCTAATAAAACATAATGAAATATAAAATTAATATTGAATAATGAAATAATAAAATAAATGCTCGATATAATGCAATTTTTTAAATATATAATTAGTTATTTTAAATAATTAAAAAACAATTTTTAAAAAATAATTACTTACCCTGTTTGGCATAACAAGTAATGACTGTCCTTTCTTTGCTTCTCCTGCCTCAACTTTTCCCATTACTACTGTTCCCATATCTTTATACTTATCAACAATTGGCATGATAAAAGGTCCGTTGTTTTTACGATTTAGCGAAGGTAAAGAATCAATAAAAGATATGAATGGAGGGCCAGTGTACCATGTACAAAGATGTTCTGGTATTGGATCTTTTAAACCATAACCAAGTTGTCCTGAGACTGGCATGAATGTAAGATCTTTTGCAGGATTGAATCCCAATTTACGAAGGTATGGCAGTATTTTATCTCTATATATATATATATATATAATATATATAAATATATATATAATGTATAACAATTAATTTCATGCTATAAACAAAAATTAACATTTTAAATTTATGATTATATACCTGCACTCGTTATATCGTCTTTCATCCCATTCCACAGTTGGATCATCCATTTTATTCACTAACACAACCAAATGTTTAACACCAGCTGTTTTAGCCAGCATTGCGTGTTCTCTCGTTTGACCTCCTCTATCGAAACCAGTTTCGAATTCTCCTTTTCGCGCAGAAATAACTAATACCGCAAGATCAGCTTGAGCCGCTCCGCCAATCATATTAGGTACAAAACTTTTATGACCAGGTGCATCTAAAATTGTGAAATGCTTTCGTTCAGTTTCGAAATACGCTCTACCGACTTCTACTGTTTTTCCTTTCTCTCGTTCTTCCTGATTCGTATCTAGAGCCCAACTCAAATACCACGTTTCTCTACTTCTTTCTTTCGCTTCTCTTTCATACTTTTCTAAGGTTCTTTTATCAACCATTCCCGTCAACGCCATAATTTGACCTCCAATTGTTGATTTTCCTGCATCTGAAATATATATCAAAATCGAATTAGTGCTAATTAAAATTTCTTCTTATTATAATCTTTTTACAAAATTATTACATACCAACATGTCCTATAAAAACAACATTAACATGTTCTTTTTTACTTTTAGTATCTTCCGTTACTTTAACAGGTTTTTTCTTAGGTATTTTAACAACCATTTCTTCATCCTCTTCATTTTCTGCCTGAAAATAATTTAAACAAAATCAATCATACATAACAAGAAAAATTATTAAATATTAAATCATTTATTGAATGTTGTTAATCAATTTTTTTTTAACATCATATCAAAATTTAATTCATATTACATTTATTTTAAAAACAACATTATTTTTGGCAATACATTTTTTTATTGCAATTAAAAACAATAATAAAAATTAAAATAAATCAAAGTTTAACATTATTTTTTATATATATTAAATTGTTTATGTAAAAGCAGTGTAAGCATACTTCTTCATTTTCAGGTGTTAAGAGAGGGTCACCATCTACTGCTGCTTCTTCCCATGAATCAGCTGGTTGATGCTCAGGACTATTATTTATTTGATCAGTAACATTCGGAGGTGGAGCCCCTCCTCCAGCAGGTGGTTCCTCTACACGACTACCTACTGGATCTGGTAGAACCACTGATGTAGTATTGCCTACAATAAACAAATATAAATTTAAAATAAAATAAAAAATCTTATTAGAAAAAAAAGAAAAAAAGGCAATTAATAAATTAAAAAAATACTGAAAATGTTTTTTATTCTTTACAAAAAAAACAGCATTACTTTTCTAAAATGTTTTATATTATCTTACACAACTTCCATAATTCTTTGTAGAATATCTTAATATATTAGATCATTTACATTGATATTTTACTTTTAATATGTATTAGAATAATATATTCATTTTAAATAAATATTTAAAAATATATATATATATATATATAAAACATTTTTGTATTATAACAATTTTTATATTCTAAAAAAGTTCTAAAACAATGTTTTAATGTATTGAAATATTGACAGATTTATATTCTATTTAAGAATTATGAAGAACTAAATATTTTCTTAAAATACAAATAAATTTAATAATAAAATATTTTAATAAATAACATACGATCAATTTAGAGAATATGTTTTTTTAAATATGTTTCTTCATTATTAACATTATATTACATAATATTTTTTCTTATAAATCTAATTTATTAAAAAATTATTAGAATTGATACATAAATGTTCTTATCAGTAGCAATTTAATTACATAAAAGTCATTATATTATATACATTTAACTCCTAACTTCATGTCTTTAATCGCATGAAGAAATACTTTGAATTTAGCATCAATTTAAACATTGCACAATATTAGGTTAATATTAAATATATATGTATCGTACTCAAATATACTTTTTACATTTATCTCTTTGTTGAAAAATATTAATGATATTAACTTATAATGAAAGTATAAACATCATTATAAACCAAAAAATCATTTCTATCAACAGATAGATGTACCGACAAATATTTGAAAAATAGAACAATATGTGAATAAAGTATAGGGTTAGCCGCAGCAGTTATATTATAGATAACTTACAATAACAAGAATCTTAATTATATCTTTACATTAAAATCCTGTAAATTACTTGAAAAAAACATAATTCATGGTTAATCAAGTTTTATTTCAAGACTAACCATGATGTATTTCAGGAGGCATAGAAGTGGTTACAGTATTCATCATGACAGCGACATTGCAGGAACTGTCGGCCGTATTACTGTTCTGCGGTGAAGAATTAATGCAGAATGAAGGCACAAATTCCGCAGCATTTACATTCAGGTGGAAAATTTGCTTTCAATAGACTTATCCTGTGGTGTAGCGATGTCTCCGTTATCCGC